GGCCACACATCAAAGTTCTTTGAAAAGTCCTGATTCTGGCTCCTGGAAACCGGCAGCCTCCGTTGTTATTATTCCTCATGGCGCTCTTCATCATGACTTGCATCAGAGATGCACTGAGACAGCAGTAAAACCTTTTCCACAGTTTAGTTCGGCTCGGCAGCAGGAGAGAGCAGGTGAAGAAAAGAGGAAGAGCGAGAGGAAGGGAATGAGGAGAGGATGAGGAGAAAGAAAAGGGAGAGGTGGAAGGTGAAGTGAGGGGGAAGTAGAGTGAGGGAGATAAGCGCCAACAAGGAAAGAGGACATTGACTTTTGATGTGCTTTAATAGAACATCTCACAACAAGGCCGGGAAGAAATAACTAAAAAAAGAACACACACACACACACACACACACACGACTTCCTCTACTACACACACAGCGCCTGCCACACGTATGACCACAGCTGACGTTTGAATTAACACTCAGACCCTTTCCCTCTGTCATACATATTGAATTCTGCAGCTGCCAAACACTCACAGATGTGACAGCAGCTGTGTTTCCATCTGTGTGTTTTTACTGGGACGCGTCAAATTAGAAACTCTGCTCGGAGGAAGCAGAATTATAACTTATTAATTCAATGTCTTTATGTGATGTAAACATGTGCGTTGGAGGAAGACAAGGTCGCTCTGGGGTGTCGAGATATCTGCCCATCACGATCAGAGACGTGTTTGTGTCGTACATTATATCCTCTCCATATATAACAGCAGCGCTGACGCACCTCAGTGTGTCGGAATTCACCGCTGTCCTATTTCCCAGCACTGAAACACGCCAATGCTCCAGAAAAGCAGGGATTGTATTATAGCCTCATCCCAGAAACCTGATGTCTGCACGGTGCACGCAGGTTGTGTATTATTGTATATAATAAATGACACAACGCAACACAGCTGCTGCTGCTGGTGTGTGTATATATTTTTTTTGTGATTCTATTAGTTTAGCTGTCAGACAAAGCATTTTATTTAAGGTCCACTCCTAAATTTTCTTTATGTTTTCTGCTGCCCTCACTATGCATGTGGGTGCGACAGCTTCTGCGGCAACCTGAAAAAAACAATTCCAGTCAAGGTTGGAGGTAGAAGCACATTTGTGGATGTGGGCTATAAAAAATAAGAACTGATTGATTGATTGATTGATTGATTGGAGATTAGCTGTCAAATATTTACATTACATCTCATGCCAGGAAGAAAACAAGTGAAGAGAATCCCCTTAAATCCCCAAGGGAAGTAGAACACAATAAAACATGTTTATCTAATGAATGTACATAGGTAGAGGTCACAAAGACAAAGTCAGAGTCTTCAGGTCAATGAGCTAAATTGAGGACATAGTTGAAAACTGTTATGTGCAAAAGTCGCAGAGCAATATGCAATTTAAAGGTTCTAATGGAAATTGATGTATTGGATGTTGAGGAACGATGAATGGACGTTGAGGGCAGGGGTGAAGGTGTAAGAGGTTTTCTGTTGGGACGGGCTGGAACGACAAGTCGCTAATAGGTGCAGATCATAACGACAACTTAGCAACACTACGACCGATTTCAAGGTCCAACAATGAAGATCATTTAACCGCTGGAGGGACGAGACAAAGCAGCCACAAGCTTTGTCTGACGGCTGATTCCAAAGAAGATGTGATCTGAATGTGGTGGAGACCAAAACAGAGATGAGAGTAGAGAATATAACTCTCTACGCTATGTTCAGTTTTTGTTCGTTTGATGGAAAGATACTGAAATTTGTCTTATATGCCTCAACTGTCTGTGTGTAAACGAGTCAATGGCCATGTTTCATTTCTTGCCACGTGGTCGATAAGCAGAGCTGAAGGAGGGAAAGAGTAAAGAGCTAAAATAACTTCAAGGTCCTACAGAGAGACGAACAAAGAGACGACATCAATGAGCGGAGGAGACGCGATGGAGGGAAATGTTTATGGATTTACAGTCAGACTCCTCTCATCCACATTCCTCTGTCTTCTTCCCTCTTCTCTGCATTGACCATGAAAGAAATCTTGAAAGATGCGGCGGCGATCTGAATGAATCATCTTAAACTGTGTAAACGGAGCCCTGCGATATCAAACATTCTTCGGGGAGACGCTTCTGTACAGCGAGACTCTAATTGGTTTAGCGAGCTGTTATCTATGTACAGTAAAACAGTTCCATCCAGCGCCACTCAGTGGGAGGTGAGATCTCTATCTACCCCCTTCATTCACAGCTTAATTCAATTGGAGGGCAATTATCGACCTCCCAGAGGCTTCAACATCCTTGTTGGTTTCTGTTCCCATCAGGGAGCCTCGCAGCAGGGACACCCCCCCCCACCCATGCACCACACTGGGTGATGTCTGTATCGATGTGCCGTGTGTAAAACACCAGAACAGGCAGCTGCAAACGGGCGAGAGGCCTTTTCAGCCACAAACTCCAGATTCAAAAGATCGTGAGTTCACAGATGAAGATGAGTCAGAGAGGCTCTCAGGAACACACCTCTGTGCTCGTGGGTATAGAAGCACGAGGCTCGTTCCTTCGGTCAGATGCAGCAGATTCTTTTCAACGTCAATGACCAGTGCTTGGTAAGATGCTTAACAACGCCTACGTTAAATTCAAAACACTTTGTTTACTTAAATAATATTCTGACAAATGTTTCCCCCTCAAATCCAACTGTGAGAATATGTGATCCTCATTTCCGACCCTCGGTTTCCTGTGACCTTGGACATGTTTGACCTTGAAACGGTTACGAAGAGCATCTCCGTAACTCTGGTTCCTCAATTTTAACACCTGATGTTAATGTGATGATGTCATTATTTCCTTTTTCAAGCATGGATCTCCTTATTCAAGTTTCTTCGACAACACATGAGGTCGCCCCGTTCGGCGTTTTTTGGTTAAAGCCTCCTATGAGTAAAAAACAAACAGGAGCTGGGTAACGGCTCAGTTCAGAGTTTTTAAACCTCTGTGTTTCTGAACTGCTGCGTTCCGCCGTGTCCTTGAAATAAGCTGTTAAATAAACTCATTGAATCAATGACAAACGGGGATGAGAGAAGGAAGAGAAATGAGAAATTAAAGCACTACGGAGCGATAAACTCAGTTCCGCTGTAAGAATGAGCTCCTTGATTTTGGTATTGGATATCAGAAACTGCAGACTGAGGCAGACAAAAGACTCTGAAGCACTTTAACCCTTTGTCTTTTAAACAGCAGATTCTGCAAAATAACACAGTTTATAGATGAATCGTTTCACCTAAATGAAACTAAAAGACAAAAGCTGCTCAACACAGACACATTTCTGAATGGAAACATCTGGTTCATTCACAGTTTGCCATTCAAGACAAACGCGTCACTGTAAAGTTGATTGCGAAAAAAAAACCATTCAGCGTTTCCTTTTGTTTTTTTTTAAATCACAGGACGTTGCATATTGCAGATTTAAGAAAGGTTGATTTCTGTCTTTTAGCTTTAACTTGAGGCCGTTAACGTCACATCAGATGAGCAAAAGGGGAAATATGATCCGTTATGTGCAAAGCTCCACATTTTAAGTGAACGAAAATGATTTAACCACATTAAAATACATTTTAATAAAGTCCCATTCCCTCGAACCTGGTTGTAAATAATTTGCAGCCACCGACTGAAGGGTTTCTCGCAGAGTTTTATATCCGAGACTCCTTCAGTGCTGCTTCTCACGTCAGAGGAAATTATTACTTATTATAATTTTACAGAAAATATCAAATTAACCGGAAGGGGTAAAAAAAAATGAGCAGAGAACTTCCCAAGTTAATCACGAGATGACAACCTGTATGTGTTGATGTGCGGCACTCTATAGTCATCGAGTGGCAATAATCAATGAGTCACATTCAATCACCATCCATCACACGTACAGGAGTTAATCAGAACAGCATGTCCCAACGTCAGGGAGGGAAAAAGAACATATCACGATCAACCCTGCTGATCACCTCCATTAATCTGACCTCAGGAAGGAAACAGTTGAGCTTTAAGGGACTGGACCATAGACTGTACATGAATAAAGATGGACGACTAAGATCCAGAAGTGAAGCCAAAATAACCTGCTTTAAAAAAACGCGATCAATCATCGCGTCAAATTAAACTTAGAACTAAAAATGACAGAACTCCTCTTGGAAATTGTTTTTATTTAACGTGCTGCAGGGTGGGGGGAGCTGCCCTGCCGTCCATCTTTACTCACACCGTCTGTGGTGCACGCTCATTTGCAGGTTTCTGGATCCACAGCTTCTTATTCTTTCTAAACCTAAAATATGCAACAGATTTCACTCGGGTCAACACATCTGGGAAAACGTGAGAGAAGTTGGCAATGTTGTTCACGTCTCGCTCCTCGTGTAACGGTTTTCCAGACTTTCAGCTGTCGGCTGCTGCTAAAATTTTGAAAAGCCGAACTTTTCTCAGCTCAGATCACTTTTCTATCGACCAACTGCTGAGCTTTCCTTTTTTCTCGACAGTTGATGCCTCCCCTCCACCTCTTCTTCCCTTTCTCTCTCTCTCTCTCACACACACACACACTTGCATGTTTAGAGCATTTTGTCTCTGGAGCACAGCAACAGCGAAGCCCAACTCCCCTGACAACTGTGAAATATGTACCGAAGCTGTTTTAGCTCAAATAAAGACGAGACGATTTCAGCCATTAAACAATAACACACACACACACACACACAGGAAGCACTGCAGCTGAGCTATAATGATGCACAAACACGCTGCATTTGAAATAACCAACAGCAAATAAGACCTGATAATAAGTTAACTGCAACGTGTCGGATAAATCCAAGGCCCTCTGCCCTCTGTGCAGGACAGAGAAGCAGTGACAAGCAATTCTGCAGCGACAAAATAGGATAGAAATGTCAGAGAATCACAGGTTTTTCTTCACAGGAGTTATGTGATTTCATAAAACTTCAGAAACCAATATCTCCCGATGCTCAAATTGAAATAAACGCGAGCCCAGAACCAGCAGAGACGGTGAAAAAGAGATGAAAACTTACTTTGAGTATTCTTCATTATCTCTGTCACAGCGAGAGTCCTTGTGCTTCTCCCAGTCTTTGCCGTGTTTGCACGTGGTCAGCAGAATAATATCTTCCCCGTTGTGGATGTGATACAGAGCGTTCCTGGTCTCAGACCCAATGCCAGTGAGGTACCGCTTCCCTTTGAAAACCAGCAGGTATTTCCTGGAAGGTGGCGCCTCGTTGAGAGTCAGATAACCTATCCCCCCTCCCTTTAGGTGGTGATCCTTGGAGAACAGAGGGATGGAGATATCAAAGTTTGGTCGGAAGTTGACCACGTCAGCGCTGGCCTTGGCCAACATGGCCTGGCCCACCTCGAAGCCCAGATCCTCTGTGTAGTCCGGCCAGGTGCCGGAGTAGAGGTTGAAAATGAGGTGGTTCCTGCCATCGTTCCACGTCGGCAGGCTCTGGATGCGGGACCTGACGTTCTGCACGTACTGAGCAGAGAGCTGGTCCCTGTCCAGTGTGTCCACGGCCAGAATGAAGAGGCAGGCCCGCTGAGGGTCCGTGGTGTGGAAGCGAGACTCTTCCACAGACGCCAGGATCTTCTGGTAGGTCTCGGAGATCTCGTCCCCTCTCTGCGGAGGGTAGACGTAAACCCTGAAGCCCGACTGGCAGCGAGCAAAGTCGAAGCAGGTTTCCATGCGGCAGCGCTTGTTCTTGTAGATGTTGTCGCGGATGGCCCGTCGTTCCCGAGGGGAGGTGTGCTGGTGATGGAGCTGAGGGCTGTCCTCCTGTAAACACACAAAGCCATCACCATCCCAAATACAGGAACGTTACATCTAGTGTCATCGCTCATCTTAACTTTGTCCAAAACACAAATGAATTGAGCAGTTCATCACGAAACACTCGTACTATACTTCAGCTGTGAATTGCTTCTCTGCGTCTCTGGGTTTCATTGATTTGTCACACGACTGAGCTGCAGCACTTCTGCTAACCCTCCCAGACGAGGAGACGAATGGAGATTGCATTTGATTCCTCTAAAGCAGTGATACTCTGTTACACCTCCCCGTTTAAAGCGAGGCAATTTCAACTCGCGGCTCCGTGTCATGGCTCGTGTGGTGGTGCTCAGGCGGCGACGCAGCTTAATGGTTGAGGCGTTCAAATCCTGACCCTGGGGACCCTTCGTTGCATCTTTATTTCATTCCAAATGTCCCCAGTCTCTTTACATACAAATCATGAGAGAATCCACTGAGTGAATCCAACAAGGGCTTTAGCAGAAACTGCAGGATTGTTCTCAACTTTCAATTTTCACTGCAACACAGGGTTTCCAATCAAATTAGTACACGTTCGTGTTGTTAATATACTGTATTTATGATGTATTTCTACACTTTACAATACAATTGTTGCATCAAAGAACACTGATCTTTCTTTGTCTCTGCCCACAAGCTCGGAAACAGTCTCCAATGCACCATCGATCATTTTAAATCTAATTAAAAGTGTCACCTTACTCTCAGGATTCTGTTTTATAATTCTGTTAATTTCTTAACCATGTCCTCGTCTGTATTTGTCTTCCAGAAACTTATCTTCTAAGTCTTTCACTAAGTTTTCCTGTTCGTTTGTTTGGTTGTAAGCGAGATTAATTCAGTGGAAGGATGTGGGATGTGTGTTTTTTTTTTCCACTTTCTTTAACGTTGCAAGATTTTCTTTGATTTCTCAGAGTTAATTCATCTCAATGAAAAAGATCAGACTTGTTTAAGGGACTGATATTTATGAGTCATGAGCAATTTGCTGCAGACTCAAATGAAAATCCAAAGAACAAAAGAACAGGGGAAATAAAGTTAAATTTGTTTAATCATCTCATCTTGTTCCTTCGAGCTTTGAATCTAAACAAACTCATCATTCATCTGTGAACCCACCAGAAATGATTTAATAGAGCTTTCGTTTAGAATGAAAATGTATATTCGTCTTTGATGATTTAAAATAACACTAACAAAAGGGCCCCGGTGCATCATACACTCATATTTGATGAGTAAATGTTTCTGCGAATGTGAATGAAGGACTTTTTTGAAGGAGTTTTTTGTTTTCAGCTAACGAAGCTGGTGATAGTTTGTTTTCCTCTAAGCTGATCCAGTCTACCTCCTGCTCTCCCCCCTCCAGGTACGGTTCCAGCAGCTCCGTCGACTCCGGCCAGTGCCTGGGGGGTCTGGACGGACTCCTCTGGGGCTGGTACACGTCCTGGGTCTGGTGGAAGTACTCCTGCTGATACTGGTGGTACTGCGGGTCCTGGGGTAACTGGCGGTATTGGTACGGCTGCTGCTGGAACTCCCCGATTTGCAGACCCCACAGGTAGACGAGGAAGAGAAGACCGGCCCCCACAGACACGAGCAGGTACCGCTTCTTGGCCTGCATGTGTGCTGCGGGGGGAGGAAGAGGAGGAGTTGGTGGGTTCAGGGGCAGAGGTGAAGAGGATGAGGGGAGGAGAGAGGACAGGAGGGAGGAACAAGAGGAGCAGGAGGTGAGGATAAGGGTTAATTAATGAAAGGAGGAAAAAAAGGAGGAGATGAGGAGGAGGAGGAGGGGAGCAGGGAGGTAGCCACAGGTCAGCTCGACCCACAGGGCGGACTCTCTATCCACAGCTCGGCATTTTGGGATCTGGAGTCACTAAAAGAAGAAAGAAATTAACAGTAAGTTAGTCAGCATTTTCAAAACAAGGAAAACTTAATACCAATAGAAAACCAAAGTTAAATCATTGTATTATGATGCTGATGAAAGCTGAGTCCTGTCAGGTTTGATCTTCATTGTTGGAATATACACTCCATCTCCAGTTTTATTAATGACGTCCCATCAGAACTTCTTGTGAATCATCATAAGTCGGTGAATCAAAATGATTTAAACGCACTGAGCAGACAAGCACCGAAATTCATCTCAATGAATCTCTGTAATTACTCGATATAATTTACTGTTGTCTGGGCTGTAATCTCTGTTAATGACAAATCCGTTTTCTTATACAGATTATTCATCTCCTGCAACAAATTCACAGAACTCTACAGATGATTCAGCATCAGCTGTGCAGCTCAACAGTGCTGTTAACGTTCCATTCAATGCATTTACAGTGTGCAGGTTAACAGTGTTAATGAGAGGAACATGTTAAGCTGCAGCTCTAAACTGCTGGAAAACCAACAACCAGCATGGGCAGCTTTTACCTCCCAACTCTCCTCCTCTGGTAAATATCATTAGTTTTCAAATGAAGCCGATAAAACAGATAAAGGTTGAGGCTCCGCTAAAATCATGATGTCCTGTATTTTGCAAATCATCAGTCGTTGCCCGAGTCAGTTACGTTTTTTAAATGCTCAATAATTCAATTTGATTTAATTTAATCTTATTTATCACCATCTAATCTAATAACGTCAATCACAGACATATTATATGTTGACAGTTATTTACCTCATTCAACATGATTGCATATTTACAAGAATTCACTCGTTATGGAAGAATTACTTACATGGAACCTTATTCATTACATTCACAGAGTAGATATTAAGTTTGCCAATTCAGCATTGATGTGTTTCTGAAAAGTGCAATATAATATACACTAAAGTAGAAAACACAGAAGTCTGGTCCAGACTAAGATACACGTTTGTTGCTGAAGTCACAAGTAACAACGTGTTGGATGAGATGCAGCTTTAAATCTAAATAGAGTGTGCAGCTTGTATGTACAATTATTTGTTTTCTCAGGTATTTATCTCTTTGTATATTCACGGTGACATGATGGTGGAGTTTCGTCTTTACCTGTTCCCGCGGGAACACCTGTTTTCCCGGGAAGGGATCGTGGTGTCCGCTGCTCTTCCCTCCAGCCCGAGCAGGAATCACTCACAGTTTGGAAAAGCATTCTCCAAGTTGTTCCACAAACGCATCCGCGGATTTCTATGGAGATCTGTTTAAACCACGTGCAGGAGACTTCCACTGAGCCACACCGGCTGCGCTGCCTTCATCCTCCAGCGCGTCCCGCAAACTTTCCACATGCACCGAGGACCAGGAGGGGTTTACGCGTGAGGGAGGCTCGCGGGGATCAGGTGTCCACTGGGCGAATTCAGGTGCCGGAACAGCCGCGGCAACACTGACAGCATCCATCCAGAAGGAGCGTCAACCCAGGCGCGTACATCTCCAAATCTACAGCTGCGCATACATCCAGAGAGGGGGAATCCAAAGTTTGGTGTTTAAATCCTCAGCGGCTCATAGGCAGTAAGAAGCAGGAGCCATCACCTCAGGTAAGTTGAGGAGACGCTGATCCAAGCGAGAGTGAAATCCCGACTTCTCGGTCCGATGAGTGCGAAGCAGCCGGGTTCATCAACGTAGGGACGCGGGGACGGAGCAGATCCACATCACGGGTGCGCGCTGAGGCTCCGGTGGGTTATTCCACCCCGGCTGCGAGCTACTAACACACCCGCTGTCTCCACGTCTCCATCCTCAAACCCCTCAGTTGGATCTGGGCTGCGCCACCGTGCAGCAGCAGCAGCAGCAGCAGCAGCATCAGCATCCAGCTGCATCCAGCAGCATCAGCATCACAGCGCTGATACACCAGACGGCATCATCAGCATCAGGCTGCTACACACTGGAGGCGATCAGCGCGCACGCATGGGGCGTCATTCGGCTCCGGTAACGTGGGAGATCGCCACAATCCAGCATCTCTCGGTCTGTGACTTGTGTCCAGTTCACAAAAAAAAAAAACACTGAGAGGAAAAAGTCCCAGAGGAGCGTTCAGGATCACAACACTGCCTCCACGTCCTCACTGATTCCAATGCGAAAACCAAGCTCCACTTAGAAATCTGCACTTTTCAGCGTATACGCAACAAATGATCTCAAACTGTGATTTGCAAAAACACAGGCAGGCATGAATCACATTTGCAGAAGTATAAGGACGCCATGAATAGAGCAGCAGTGTGTCACAGAATCTAATCATTTTGATGTATTTCGTTTTATCTAATCGTTATAATTACACAACATCTTTGTTCTGCAGTGTCGATGTGGAAGCTTTGTTCAAGGCCTGAATCCTTACGTCGACTTTCCTCCACTAAAGTTCTGTCCATCGAGAGGATTTGATGTTTTGTTTGAGCTCAATGAATCACAGAGAACCTGGTGATCTTCACGTCATTGGTGACTCCACTTCAGGTTCCCATGATTCGGTTGCAAAATGTCGTTTAAGAGACTTTAGAACTGACTTTTCAGAAGCTTACATGAACTTTTAATTAAGCCTCGTCTCATTAAATCTCTTAATGAGTCGAATATTTGGCCCAATAAATTAACTTTCACCGTCTGGCCCACAGATCTCCGTCTCCGTTCATGTTCCACTTATCTGGATGGATGCCACCGAGCGAATAAAATGAATCTGACCGTGATTTAAATAGATGTCACTGTCTCATAAATAAACAGAGGGAGGCTGCAGATGTTGTGAGTCCACTTAAAGGCACATCGGGCAGCACACAGCGCCATCTTGTGGCCCATGTTGCAGCCCACACTGAGACAGAAGTAGCTCCAGCTCAGCTTTTCAGGGTGAATACAAATAACTTCCACTTTTAGACTAAACCGTGATTTCACAGTACACGTAGTCGTAGTAAGTGAATTTTTTCAGACACTGATTTATCTTTACAGCTTATTCCACAAGGCTCATGGGGGGTTGAGTCAATTCCTGTCCACCCTGGACTGGTCGCCAAAATATCCCTAGGCTTACAAACAAACAGCAGAATGAATCCTCCACTTTATAAGAGTTGATGAATCGTGAACCAATAAAGGTTCTGGATTTATTTTAGTGCCTGTGAGAAAGATCTGCAGCAGATCACAACCTGCACACCAGGATCTGAAGTTTTATTTCCAAATACCCGTTCCTGTGATAAGTCTGAGACGATTCGGCCCCATGGGCGATTAGGAGAAGATAAATCTGAAAAGGTCTTGAGTGGCGGAGAGAGAGAGGGAGACAACTCTGATCCGTCTCTATGTCTCAGTCCGTCGCTTCAGGTCCTCAATTTTCACCATCAATCCAGAGGCTTAACCTCACTGAGGTCTTATCTCCTGTTCCAGCTCCTCAGAGGAGACGGTGATCCGGCTCTTAAATTATTCTGAATTCAGATTACGTGCCGCGCTTGAATTACTGGATTACAGTCATAGATCTCATCAGATCTCATCTCTGCCACGCAGGGAGAATTAAACATGCTGTCGATCCCGTGGAAGATTATTCACCAAGTTCACAGTGTTGCTAAATGTCACCTCAACACATTTTTCTCACTTATAACCCAGTTTAATTTAATTTGCAGTCGAACAACTTCAAGTGATTCAACTTTGTTTCTTGTCCTCTGTATTTGTTTGTCCTTAATACTAAAGTAAATCAGTGCTGCGTTTCTTTGTGTTACCCGAGGTCACGAGGGGGGGTCACTTCCTGGTTCAACAAAAGTCTCGGCAGAGGGGGGAGGAGTCTTACATACTGCAGGCAGCTGATTGGGCTGAACCATGTCCCTCCATGTCATGGGGGGGATTTGAGTTAAGACATTTCCTTTGCATTTAGCTGTAATTGTATGATATATATATTTTAACATCCTTTTTTTTAACATGCATAAAAGTTGGGGAAACGCAGAGTCAACCACTCCCAGTTCTTTAAGCTCAACGCTCTGAGGGATTAACTAAAGGTGACTCAGACGAGTATATCAACACTTTTATCGACTCATCTGTGACTGGTCATTAAGATGACAAGGTTTAGATTTCAGTCGTAAAATCAACCTGAAACAATAAAAATAACGATGGGGACAGAAATAGGACATTGATTATGTCTTTGTCCTCCTGCCTGACGTGTCGAGGTCGCGTTGATCGGATCTTCGCTGCGTCTCTGAGCCCAGGTGAATCCAGCTACGATCTGAAGTGCCGAGATGAAAGTTTCGATGCCCTCGGCGGAACAGTGAGACCTTTTACACCAGGACGCTGCCCCGGCCTTCAGCAGCCTGAGCCTCATTTGGAGTCTCTGTGGTTCTTTGAGGCTGAGCTCTGTTGGAAGTAGTTTGGCTTCACTGCCGTCACTTTCTGCGAACGTGTTTCTGAAAATAAAACACTCACGTTTGTTTTTATCCAAGAGGCGAAACGTCGTCGTCTGTGTTGAACTGAAGCTTTTATTAACTGTTTCACCCCCAACTGTTTCAATCATTCAATGGAATTTATATAGCTAAATAAAACAAAAATTATAAATAAATCAAAATGAAAACGAGTTCTCAACTAACTGTAGATGATTAATTGCGTTTTTTGGTGTAGACCATAGAAAAGCATCGTCCTCTCAGTGGACCACAAAGTGCACGGGTTGTCTTCTCTTCTTCTCCACCAAAAACTTTGGAGGAAAAGCCACTGAAACAACAAGCAGCGCCTCCGTTGAACCTCGTTCCCCTCCTTCCGTCGACCAATGTGCAGCAGAGTTCCTAAAAACGCTCAGAGTGAAGACTGTTGACAGTAATGG